AACACCGCATTTACTCACTCTTCTAAAAAATCCTGGAATAATTTTTGGCATTTTTCCGCCAGTTCGTCCTTCATCATCTGACCAGCATTCTGATTCGCTCCAGGTTCCAAAAGATCCATTTCAAAGCAATTGGTATTACAAAGTTATAACAATAATGTAGCCTCCGTCCCGTCTACCACACGAAGCACACGAGCTCTTGCAGAAGTTTTCGCGCGAAAAGCTGTACCATGTGATTGTTTCGCGCCACCAGGAACCAATCAGATAGATGCTTCTCTGTGCTGCTACTACAATTGGGCCATTGTGGCCAATCATATTCGAGCTTTCTGAGGGTCGTGGCATCATGTTGACTTGTTGAGGTTAGATAGTTTCAGAGATAGTTTCAGGAAATTTTAGTTCTAAATAATATAAAAATGTCAACGATTGAAACAAAATAAAAAAAAATATTTAGTAATGTGAAAGGTTTAAACAGGTGTTAACGTTACTCGAAACGGGCGGACCTTAGACATTTGACGTTTAATACGATTAGAGAGGTAAGGTTACCGTAAATAGATCCACACATAAGTTAGTACTTACAGTATAAATAACAAACCTGCTATTTTAACATTGCATTTCGTGTTTTACTAACTATCGCATCTCAACAGTGCCATTAAAATTATTTTTAGACTGCGGCACTGTTTGTCACGTGGTATCTGTTACTGGTCTGAGCCAGTAAAGTTGAACCAATCACAGTCGTTTATGATTCATCCCACGGATAGTGCTTAGATGAGCTTGTTCTCTTGGAAACTGTTACATTTCAAAATAATGAATTGCCATTATTGTTTTGCACATGATAAAAATATGCCTACAGCAAAATAATAATAAAAAAGATTAGTTGTTTTGCAGTTATTTGTGACATCACTTGCCATTCGCCGTTACTTTGCATTGTTATCGAGGCAGTTCAGCTGCCTCCGTTAATGACTTAAACGAAACATGTCTGGTTCGTTTCAACTTGATTTTTGTTTATTTTATTCTTCCTTTTTTTTTTTTTTGGCACAGTAGCCTACACTACGAATTGCCTCGTGTCAAAGGTAGATGGCGCTATTGCTATATTATTATGTTAACAGCCGAGTAACCCGCTTTTTAATCAAAACAGCAGAGAGCGCCAGAGAGTTAAACAAAGCATAATAACACTATATGATAAAAACTGCAAATGTGTCAATCAAAACATGCAAGTGAAAAAAATATTCCTCTGTGCAAACATGGTATAACATATTTCATATTTCATTCGATATATGCCCAAGGCCAGCATTAAATGTTTTTTTTAACATATGTGATTTATGTTTTCCCAAACAACAACAAAAATAGCATGATCTGTGGTTTTCATTAATAAGTAGGCCTAATTAGTAAATATGATATTTCAATGTTATGATATGTTAGGATATATGTTTCTGACATATAATCTGACATGATATGGACATTCAACGATAAGTTAAGTGCCATCAACAGAGAAGAAAGTCATTTGAGATAATGAGCAGGTTATTACATTTTGATTAAAAATTACAAATACAATTTTTTTTCTCTTTGGAATAACATGCACAAATTACTTGTGAAGATTTCTTTCTATTACAAAAAGTTAACATGAAAAATTCTTTGCACCGTTGACATGTCACAGTGAAAGTATTATAACTATTGTAAAGTATTGTTTATCTTGATTCAAGGCCTTCAGAAACACAAGCATTGTCAAGATTTCAAATCATTCAACTCGTTTTTTCGACAAACTAATAAATGTGACTGATCTTTTGTCAGATATGTGTGGCTGGATGGCTTTGTGGACGAATAACCATATTTGTGTGTGGTTAAATAAGAAGTGGTAGTTTAGTCTGGTAGAAAACCACTTGCTGGTCGATTCTAGTGAGTAAGAACACATTTTTTTGTGGTATGTAAGTGTATTTGTGTCTGAGAGTTTTAAGTGTCTGTTGGGCGTAGACTTTGAGTTGTGGTCTATCTATGTCTTTTGTTCTTGTGGTTTCCCTTATGGCGGTTAAATTCATCCTCTGGCGGCATTTTTAAATTTTGAAGTCACACTTTCATTGGTGGGTAGAATGAAGACTTGCAGACGTCAAACTAACGCTTGCCTGTGTTTTTGTAATGGTTAAGTTGATTTGAACACTCTCCCCTCTTCTCTTTATTTGTGGGTGCATGTGTGTTAATGTGCCCTCAAAGTGTTAAAAACCCAAGCATGTTTTCAATCACTTTGCTGTAGACCATAGACGTAACTCAGTAAATTAGATAAACATACGCTAACGTAGTGACTAAATCACCACACACACACACACACCTTAGCCAGGTATAGCGTTACGGCGAACAGTCTCTAGACGGTCTTGTCTGCAGGGCGCCTTTAGTACATCAGATGTTTCGTAACATTTGGCACAGCAGTATATATGAGGGCTTTCTTGCATGCTTGCAGATGCCATGGTGAGCATAAGATATTGCATTAGTCAGGAGATTTATGTCTTTGACAATCCCACACACAACAGCATAACTGCCAAAAACACGCTATCTTACTTGGGGTGAAAGCAAGTATTTGTCAAGGTACATAAAACAAGATGTGACAGATATCGTTTTGAAAGTCATAATAACATGTGAGTTGTTTCTGGGTGGTGGTGTTTTGATGTGTAGACACCATCCTTCCCACCCCTCCACCCCCAAATGACGTTAGCTAGCTAGACTCAAGTAACTTGTTTTCTGAGAGCTGTGCTGAAGTCACTCTTGTGTTCTGTGCATTGTGAAAAGGTGCAATTTAGCGTTTTCAGCATTCAATGATTTCATTGCAAAAATTGTTATCTATAATAGCATGCACACAGATTTATTGAGTCAGAGACATGCTTGTATATGATGATGTGAGTGATACAGGGACCTGAATTGTTTGTCACTGTTTGTGCGTTCATTTGATCAAAAGGGACGTTGTATTCATGAAGGATCCTGAAGATGCACTGCTGTTTTCAACATTGATTTAAATGTTTTTTTATAGCACCAGAACAGCATATTAGAATGATTTCTGATGGATAATGTGAAAATTCAGCTTTGTCATCATCACGAAAATAAATTACATTTCAAAATAAAATATAGAAAACAGTTATAAAAATGTAATAATATTTCACTATGTTACTGTTTTAATGCATTTTTATTACATAAATGCAGCCTTGGTGAGCATAAAAGAATTTTAAAAGTAAGAGATTATTCAAAAATATAAAAAAATTCATACAGACCCCAATGCAAAATACATATTAAAGGGTTAGTTCACCCAAAATTGAAAATTCTGTCAGTATATACTCACCCTCATTCCAACCCCGTAAGACCTTCGTTCATCTTCAGAACACAAATTAAGATATTTTTGATGAAATCTGAGAGCTGGATCACATAGAAGCATGTTTCCGCCACTGAATATAAAAATAAAATAAATAATTGTGACTTTTTATCTCACAATTCTGACTTTTTTTCTCGCAATTGCGAGTTTATATCTCGCAATTATGACTTTATTTCTCAGAATTGCGTGATATAAAGTCAGAATTGCGAGATATAACACGCAATTGCGACTTTGTATCTAGCAATTCTGACTTTATATCTCGCAATTCCGACTTTATATCAAGCAATTCTGACTTTATATCTCACAATTGCGACTTTATATCACGCAATTCTGACTATATTTCGCGATTCTGACTTTCCATCTCGCAATTCTGAGAAATCAGTAAACTCGCAATTGTGAGAAAAAAAGTCAGAATTGTGAGATAAAAAGTCGCAATTACCTTTTATATTTTTCATTCTATGGTGGAAACAAGCTTCCATAGGGATCACTCCTGCATACTAGTCCATAGGCTTCTTGAGGAACTGAAACTTGCCGGCCTCGATAAGTTATTAAAGACATCGTTAAAATAGTCCAAGTGACTTCAGTGGCTCAATCTTAACTTTATCAAGCGACGGGAATACTTTTTGTGCGTAAAAACAAACATAAATAACGACTTTATTTCAACTATTCACTTCCTTCTCTATGGGCCTCTAGTCAGTTAACGTAGTGTGATAGCGTAGAGCTACGTCACACGTAGGCTCACTATTGGCCGACGCTGGTCATGTGTGTGATGCGTGTGACGTAAAATAACAGAAGCTTACGTTGTTAAACTAGTAACCTGACTCGAAGCAGAGAGAGAAGTAAATGAATAGTTGAAATAAAGTCGTTACTTTTGTTGTTTTTTGCGCACAAAAAGTGTTCTCGTCATTTGATAAACTTAAGATTGAGCCAAGATTTAACGACGTCTTTAATAACTTTTCGAGGCCGGCAAGTTTCAATCCCTCAAGAAGCATATGGACTAGTATGCAGGAGTGATCCAGCTCTCAGATTTCATCAAAAATATCTTAATTTGTGTTCCAAAGATGAACGCATTTTCATTTTTGGGTGAACTAACCCTTTAGTGGCCGGTATCCCTGGTAAATTGTGTTAATTTACTCACCATGGGCTGGTTTGGCAAAAAGTTATGTTTGCACCCAGATATACACAGATACATAGCACAGCTTTCAGATACCTCCAACAGTAGCGAGAGAGTGAAAGAGAGCAGAGTACAGATGTCAGAGGTGAAAGGTCAGCAAAAAAGAAAGGTCACAGGAGCACTTAGAGCTCTGAGAGCTGTTTGAGGTCAAACAAAGTCTTTCGGTTAGAGTTTCCAAAGAGCGAAAATCCACCGAGGATTTAATGGTGTTGGTTGCAAAAGCAAAACCCCTCGTAATCTAGATTTTCAGGTGTGTTTTTACCAGGCTTCTATAATTACACAGGCTACATATACCTGTAGGAACCTGCATGCTGAATATATGGGCCATGTGTCTGGGGTGGGTGTATTTGCACACAGTATTTACACGTGTATATCCAAAATGTGTTTTTAGGCATGGGAATAAAATGGCACATCTGTCTGTGTCTGCACCTGGATGTCTCATGTCTCTCTCTCCCTCCAACAGTGTTGTATGTGCCTTGTTGTTTGTTTAGGGTAGACTGGTGGGAATCTTCGACTGAGCTGGTCTCTCATTAGCACACAGTGAGAAAACGAGTCTTCGGAGGAAGATCATTGTGTCTAACAGCAGGTGTGTGTTTGTGTGTTTCACACAAAGTCTGGCAATTCATGCACTGTCAGCCTATTTGATTCATGCTGTTTCTCACAGAGAGGGTCATAAATGTGCAAGTAAATCACATGTTCATTGTTTTCTGATTAAGGACTATATTCGGGGGGTTAAGACTTTATTCAGAAAAACAGTAATATTATGAAGTATTATTACAATTTAAAATATTTTTTTCTGTTTAAATATATTTAAAATGCAATTTATTCATGTGATGACTTCAGTGTCACATGGCCCTTCAGAAATCGATCTAATATGCTGATTTTGTGCTAAAGAAACATTTCTCATTATTATCAATGCTGAAAACAGCTGTGCTGCTTCATATTTTTGTGCAAACAGTGAATTATTTTTTTTAGGGATTCTTTTAGCTCAAAAGAACAGCATTTTTTTGTAACATCCAGCAACTCATAATAAAATAACAAAGCATAATGTAATAACTGCACATTAATGTAATTGGTATTACATTAATAATGTAATATAAATGTTTATAATGTAATAATATTGTCAAAATGTTATGAAATCTTGAGCTCATAATGACGATTTTCCAATGAAATAACAATTTTTCACATTCCACATGTATTATAAGTTACTGAATGAGAAATGTATTACTTTAAGAACTTATAATGTAATCACAGTTCATAAGGAAATACCAGCACATAATGAATAAGTGAAACAATTATACATTGGCATTGTAATTACAATTATGCACTGCAGGTTGTAATTTGACATCAAATGTGAAAAAGTTATGATTTTATTTATCTTTCTTTCTTTTTTGCATCACAAAACCAAACTGTTTTAACATGGGTGTGTAGACTTTTTATAACCACACTATGTGATTGTAAGTTGGACTGTATTTTTTTTTTTAACTTGCCCTCTGATGTAAATTCAGGTTTTGTTTTGCTGTAACTTGTATTAAAATGAAGAAATGTTTGCTTAACTTGCTTAACGGTCTCCATGCTTCCATTGGCTGAAGCAGATAATGCAATCACACTCACTTATATGCACACACACACAAACCTTGTGTAAATAAGTAGTAGTAGTAGTAATCTGATGATAGATTTTGTCGGCAGGTTAAGACTGGATTTATATTTTTAAAGTGCATAGGAATGCCAGTGTTTTATGTTTAATAAAAATATAATAATTATCTCGGCTGGATTGAGTGCAGGCCAAACCTTCTCCTACAACAGAAACACAAACACATAATTCTAAAAGACATAAGCTGTAACAAATAATAATAATTGAATAATGAATATTTAAATCCGTCACATTTTGCAGGTAGTTTACCCTATGACTGATTTAGATTTTTAAATATGTACTTTAAAGGAATACAAATATTTGTTATGTTTTAAAAGCTATTACAATTATAAAAATATGACAAACGATTGTTATTACATTATGAGCTCATGATTTTATTACGTTTTGAGAAAATACTTATTACATTGTGCATCGTTTTTACATTATGAGTTGCTACTCATGTCTACTCATGTCAGTAGAGACATTAGTTTGTCATATCTATGCCACTTCTGACGACAAATAGAATGGGCTATATGCACGCATAAATTCCGCATTTGACGCAAGGATGCTCGTCCATTTCCGGTTGTGGAGATTAAAGTGGAGGAGAACCGAGGAAAACGGGATTATGGCAGAGCCTTCAAAATGTACTGTACTCCCGACTTTGAAACGAAACCTACATACGTTTAAAGATGTAATTTTATATATAGTTATGTTTATTTAATATAATTTTAAAAAGAAGCATAAACACAACGAGGGGTGTCTGTTTTATCTGTTTTTGTGACTAACGTGTCTTTATTATAACCATGGAGTATAAAATTCAATATAAATTCTCTGTATTGCATTGGACTCTACGATCGGCGGAAGTTATCGAGCATTCTTAATCCTTCACCGGAAATACCGCCGTGCATAGAGCCCATTGGGATTTTTACACAGCCACAAAATGCCATTGGTTGAGCTAATGTTGTTTTATATCCGGTTGTCCGGAGGCTCAAACAAATAGATCAATGTTTTGATAGCACCACTAAGCCACAGTGTTTACACTAGAGAAATCTGCCTGTTAATGGCGTCCTTATAGTTGTAAGCTATTTTGACATAAATAAAATAAAAATTACACACTTTACCTTTAAATTATAGTCCTAAACCCCCTCTCCCTCCCATTTTCCCATGGACTCCACCACAACAACCTCAGGGGTAACGTTAGGCCCTCTCTTAACGCTTTGTTTATGTTGTCATGATAGTCCTTTTGTCAGAAGTGTCTTTCTTGAACTTGGTGGTCTTTGTCAAGGGCGTAGAGTGCGTGCTGTCGTGGGTTTCACGTGGACGTGTGAAAATAGGTCCCGTCAATGAAGGGACTTTTTTCCCACCATTGTTACCTCAGACTCACAGGAAAGCCGGTCACTGTTAGTTAGGAAGCGCTAACTGTTTCTCGCTTACTATTGAGCTTGACCATGAATCTGAATTATGACAACAGCCTCTCCGTAACAGTGGATTAGTCATAAATAATAAAACACACCTGTCTACAAACGCCAGCCTTTATAAGATTCATAAAGCTTTTGTATTGACCCGGACTTTTGAAAAAAGGAAGAGTAAAAGAGGTATATATTATATTTTATTAAATTAAAGCAGGGGGTTTCAAACAAGGGGCTGTGGGAGTGATGAATGAATAATATTAAGTATACAAAATAAAATAAATGAATTAATAAAAGTGTGATTACAAAAATTCGTTTTTAATCTATTAAATATATTAAATTATATTTTTAAAAATTGATTAAAATAAATAAATATTACATTTAACACTTCATTAGTAGTCAAAGGAAAAATGGGTGATTATAAAAAAATATAGGTTCAGGTTCATGACATCTAAAAGATTGAAAACCCATGTAGAATGTATTATAAGCAAGGGTGCAAATAATACTGTATACCTTTTGAAAATATTTATAGTTTTCACAGCTTTCTTAGAAGAATCAGAAATCATTTACATTGGGAGGTTTAAGTTTTCAAGAAAAAAGCTTTCTTACTCTTAAAAATGTATACTTTTTATAAAAAATATAATGTAAAAACAACAACAAAAACATTGATTAATTAAAAAATCGGACTCTTCTTTCTAATAATGTGTGAAAGACTTTATTAGAAAGACAGTGCACACATATTACTATGAATGCAAAAAAGTAGAATAAGTCCCGCCTTCTAAATAAAAGAGCTAATCAAAGTCATTGCGTCACACGTCCTCTGACTGCACATGCGCATTGGCTGCTCCCTAAAAATGCAGTTTTGAGCATTTAGAAACAAAATTTATTAGACAGTTCTTCGTGAGACAGATTTCATTATTGATTTCAAATATAAAGTTTAATCATAAGCTTGGTGAACATTTGAGAATATGTTGTTTTCCCATACAGACTTGCATGACTGGAACAGCTGCCCATGGGGTTTCAAAAATGGCCGCCAATTGAAATTACTTGCCTTAAAGAGACTTTGTTAAACCCAAAAATAATATTTTCATGTTTCAAAGAGATATCAGGAATCATACAACAAAAATACCCTCTAAATGTACCTGAGTGATTCTTAGTATAACCACAGTGGGGGTTTTGAAGGAAAGAAGTTCATTGGTGCCTTAGCACAAAACCTCTGAAAGTCTTTCTAAAGAAACCACACACACACACATACAAGCGCACAACCTCGACTCTCACCTGTCTATCAGGATGTTGTTGGACTTTTGAGGACATCCTCCTCACAGCTGAGATCGTGAGAAAATTAGCAAACAAATGAGTGATTGGGTCCTTTGGTTGATCAGTGGCCTTTGCAGACAGAGAGAGAGAGATGAGAGGACTTGACCTGGAAGGAAGCTATTATACGGAATAATCATATTGTGACGGACCTATTGTTGTATTTTTAGTATCCTGCAAACAAGTAGCTTGTGCGTGAGTTATTGTGTGTTGGGTTCCAAAGACAACCTGTTTCGCACAGATGTGAGCTCGCATATGGTTGTTTGTTTGTGTGCGTCCGTGTGTGTTTTGAAGCGTGTTTTCTGTCACTGTATCACAACAACATATGTGTTGTCTGTTAGACTTTTTAACTTTCCTGAAGTGAAGCGGAAAAAGGTTGTTCCTGTTTTGTTACAGACAGCAGGACAGTAAATATTCTATAAATAGAGGCCGGCGTATGTATGGATATGAAATCATCTGATACGTGCACTCTTGCATGCGTTAATAGTTTCTTTTGCTCACTTGAAATGATGGTAGTTTGTAGTCTAGACTCTAGAGCTTTAGTCTAATTCTTGACGCATGGAAAAAACTTTTACCTGCCTTTAATTTTGAAAGATTAGAAGATTACTTTGAAGATTAGAAGGTTACTGTTTATCACTCAACCATCAGACTTATTATTGATAATATTTTCTTTGCACACTACTAAAAGTCAGATTTTTATTAAAAGACAAATACTTTTATTTAGCAAAAATGCATTAAATTGATCAAAAGTGAAATTTAAAATTGTATAAAATATATATTTTGGGTAACACTTTACTTGAAGGGGTGTGCATAATACTAACATGACATATGTTATGAATATGAGGTGTTATGCATGATTGTGACAACTGTCATTAAGTGTCATTCTCTCAGTTATGACATTTTGAATGCCAATATGACATTGTTTGAGATGTCTTTGCTATGACACCTTGACATAAACCAATACATCATAACCTGTCTGTGTCTTTGTCATGACAACTTGGCATTACTAAGACATCACAACCTGTCATAAACATGACATATTTAATTATGAAACTTAAGAAACCACCTAGCTTTATTGGTTAACATTATATTAAACTGGTGGTTGGTTTTGACATTGGCTGTCATGAAGCCATTATAACTTTTTAATGACAAATTCAATTAGTACCACTGGTTGAGGTCATGAAAAATATTCATGACACAGTTATAATGGCCTCATGACAGCCAATGTCAAAGCAAATCACATGGCAGTTTAACTTAATTTTATGTCAGGTTGTCATGACAAAGGCACTGACAGGTTATGATGTATTGGTTTATGTCAAGATGTCATAACAAAGACATCTTAAACAATGTAATATTTGCATTCAGAATGTCATTATTGAGCGAAAGTCACTTAATGACAGTTGTCAGTTGTCGGTTTCCATCAAAATATTAAGCAGCGCAACTGTTTTCAACAGAAATGTTTCTTGAGCACCAAATAATCATATTTGAATGATTTCTGAAGGATCATGTGACACTGAAGACTGGAGTAATGATTCTGAAAATTCAGCTTTGCCACCACAGTACATTATATTTAAAATTATATTAAAATAGAAAAATAGAAAAGTTATTTTATTTTTTACTGTATCTTTGATCTCAAGAGACTTATTTCAAAAACGTTAAATAAATCTTACTGGTCCTAGCCTTTTGAACAGGATATTAAGATATATATTATAAAACAGCAATATATAAATACATATTTTTATACCAATCAATATTACTACTGTCCTGATATTTAAAAAAGCACCTTAAATATAGCCTAGATCTCTCTACTTCTGGTCAACTTTGTGAGATATTTTTTGTTTATTTCAACTATCTACCAACCACAGTGAAACACAATGACTATGCATTTAATACATGTTTGATGGCAAAATATGGTTATTTTGTCAACATCATCAGCTGTCATTTTCTGTCTGATGTTGTTGACAGTCAGTTTGAAACTTGCATTCACGTCATTCATGTATTGAGTTGAAAAAAACAATCTAACAAAAATATGTTCTTAGAGCATTTTGTTTATGTTCCCATTTAGTTGGGGGGGGGGTATTGTGAACATTCAGAGATCATTCCATTTTATCATTTTACAAACATTATGGGAACGCTACTTCTGAATGAACCTCGTAGTAACATTTAAAAAATGTTAGATGAACGTACAACTAAAATGTTTCAGAATAACGTTTACTGGAAGAGCGTTTACTCATAACTTTGAGAGAACCTTGCAACAATTTTAGCCGATGTTCTGAAAACGTTCCATCTATGCTGGGAAGCAGGAGCCACAAAAACCTGGGCGAACAGCTCTGAACATGCCAAACAGATTCATCGAAATTGGTACGTAAACCTTTAAAGGAGTAGTTCACTTTTAAAAAATCTTTTGCTGATAATTAACTCACCCCCATGTCATCCAAGATATCCATGTCATTCTTTCTTCAGTCGAAAAGAAATTAAGGTTTTTGATGAAAACTTTCCAGGATTTTCTCCAAATAATGGACTTCAATGGGAACCAAACGGTTTAAAGGTCCAAATGAGAGTTTCAGTGCAGCTTCAAAGGTCTTATCAAGGACCCTTCGAGTCATGACACGAAAAAGGATTTGTTCATTTTGATGAACGAGTTCAAACAGGAGAGTCACGAACGTGCATCCCAGAACAGAGCAAGGCGAGCATTTGAGCTTCTAAAACTTAAACTTTTTTTTTTTTTTTTTTTTTTTTTTTCAATGACCGCTTGTTTCGCTAGATAAGACCTTTATTTATAGTCTTGTGTCGTTTAAAGCCCTTTGAAGCTGCACTAAAACTCAGTTTGGTTCCCATAAAGTGCATTATATGGAGAAAAATCCTGGAAAGTTTTCATCAAAAACCTTCATTTCTTTTCGACTGAAGAAAGAATGACATGGACATCTCGGATGACATGGGGGTGAGTAAATTATCAGAAAAAGTTTTTTTTAAAAGTGAACTACTCCTTTAAGTGCCGGGTACATGTGCCTGGTGTCCAATTTAATGTGAGCAATTTAATGTCTTCAGTCATTATTGCTCAATGTTTTGGCAGACAAAAGAAATTAATGCAAAATATCTGGAACTTGATGACTTTATGACCCCTTCCTTGTCTCCTCAGGTGAGAAAAGGAATAAATGCATCAAAGAACAGCCGTCTACACTTTTAACAAGCAGGATTCCAGAATTAAGAGCAGTAAACGGTGTCCTGACAGGTCTGACACAGTCAATACAGGTTTACTGGAATGCACTTCAGAATTTGACTGTTATGATGACGTATGTGTGTGTGTGTTTGTGTGTCATCATAGTACATTCTTTTTACTATCAGTGGAGCTGAGAGGAGCAGTCAGACTGACGGACGGCGGCAGAAAGAAATGCGTCGGGGAACACATACCAGCACGTAACAAATCTACAATCTCTTTGTACAGTCATGTTCCATAAAACATAAACAACATTATCATCTCATTTCACACCATCGGCCTGATGTCTGCACTTGATTCACTGAATGCCATTCATTGATCTTGTCATAGGACACTCAACGTTAGATTAGATTACTGTACTTGACTCGTAAAGTGAGAAGTTGAGAGTTCACTGAATCAATAATCGCATGATAGACAATGAATGAACCTCTGCCTAATGATATCAAGATCGAAAAGTAAGGAAATTAGAAAACCTGTACAACAACTTCATATCTCTACAGTTAGCTGAGAAGGAAATGGTGTTGAATTGTAAATATTTTGCACTCTCTCTGTATTTACCTTTGAATAATGGGATGTGTGCACAGCTCAATACAACCACGTCTATGCTAAACACACTAACCGTCATGTTTATTTTAGATTTATTGTGGTTATTTTATTTCCTATTGGCCTATTTATTTGAAAAACTAGAACAACCATACCACAATAAAGTGCGATACTGTAGTTCAACCTATGATGAAAATGATGTCATCATTTACTAACCCATCATTCCTTCTTAGATCATCATAGTGTTAAACATGCAAGAAATCATTGCGTGATGGATTTCACATCGTTTGTTGGCATTTATATAGGACATATTGTCTCATAGGACAATAACAGTGTCCTTCGGATTATCATGGGCCTAGCTCTATGAAACTTGTGTAGATTTGGAGTAATTTACGCATAAAAGGGACCTTCCTGAAAACTCGCTTCTGGATTCACAAACGCTTTTGTAAACCTCAGATTTGATAAACGTGTGTACGTTCATGAATTACAATTCCATTAGAAAAATGTAATAAAATCGAGGATCTGTGCATTCTCAAATGGACAAAGAAAAGATTTCCAATGATTTCACTGACCAACTTATATTTTATACATTTTGATTTTGATTGCTGCAACAAACTCCAAAAAAGTTGGCAAAGTCTGCAAAATGAAAGTGAATATCCAATAAAAATTGTGTTAAAATAGTCCACAATAAGCAGGTGAATTGATCATAGGTGAGGGTATCATGATTGAGCCTTTGGTAGATGCTCCTTTTTGGCAAGCAAAGCAAATAAAGCTCACCACTTTGTGCCAAATTTCATGAGAGAATTGTCAAACAATTCAAAAATCACTTTCTCAGTGCAAGATTGCAAAGAATTTAGGTCTTTCACCGTCTATCACACATAATATTATGAAAAGATTCAGGGAGATTCAAAAGATTCAGACCGTTTTAATTTGCATGACCTTTGAGCCCTCAGATGGCATAGCATGAGGAACCATCATGCTACTACATATACTGCCATCAAGATGACATTTGCTTGGGGAAGTCCATGGTTACTAGAGCAAGAAAATGCCAGACCTAATTTTACACGTTCTACAGAGTGATTTCGTACTCTACACCTGCTGCCCACATCTTTCTCCTATTGAAAATGTATGGTCCATCATGAATAGGAGAATCAAGACAAAGACAACCATGGACTGTTGAGCAGCTGTCTTGTATTAGGCGAGATTGGGTAAATATTCCACTTGCAAAACTGCAACAATTAGTATCATATTAGTAAAAGTGTAATTAAAATGAAAGGTGATGTGATGGTAAACATGCCCCTGAAACAACTTAAAATGAGGGGCTATATAACAAAGATAATTAACAAGACAGGTGGGACACAGGAGGGCAAATCAAAAACCGATGCAACAGATGAACGAGGACAAAGGAAACTGAACTGTAAAGGATGGAAAACCAATTCAAAGTCCAAAACAGACTAAAACACAGAACAGGCGCAACATTAAGTTGGTCAGTGAATACTGGAACTCGTTTTCTTTGTGCTTTTGACAGTTAACCCTTTCATGCATGAATTATGACCTCAGGATTTTTTTTCCCTGTGTGCTCTCTTTGCGTATGAAAAACAAGATTAGAATTTTTTTGTTTGCTTTTTTTTTTTTTACACTTTTTTTAAAGAGATTTTCAGATTATGCGTTTCAGATTTATCTGATTATGCCAATCAGATTACTTTTTTGATGTTACAAGTAAAGTAATGTGTTACATGCCCTACATAATCAGATTACTTTTTTGATGTTACAAGTAAAGTAATGTGTTACATGCCCTACGTAATCAGATTACTTTTTTAATGTTACAAGTAAAGTAATGTGTTACATGCCCTACGTAATCAGATTACTTTTTTGATGTTACAAGTAAAGTAATGTGTTACATGCCCTACGTAATCAGATTACTTTTTTGATGTTACAAGTAAAGTAATGTGTTACATGCCATAAGTAATCAGATTACTTTTTTGACGTTACAAATAAAGTAATTAATTACAAGTAATGTGCGTTATGTAATTAGATTACTTTTTGATGTTACGAGTAAAGAACGGTTTGACCTAAAAAACTACTGCAGAAACAAAGGCACCTACATCTTGGATGCTTTGAGGTAAGCTAAAACATATCAAAAAATAATTTCAAAGTGAAATATCCCTTTAAACTTAATTTAATTTTAGCCAGTTGCCAAGGCAACATTTGTTATTTTCATTTAGTTTAACTAAACGTAAAACTCAAATAAAAATCTATAACATTAAATAATTGTGACAAAAGCACAGAACCAAAACTTGTAATTTATTTCACATTTAACTATTGGTTAATTAATTATGTTACTTTATTATTATGGTCATTTGTATCAAAATGCAGTGTTTTCAGTTTGCCTAAAAGAACGTTTTGCACATGACATTTACATGTTTCGGAGCATGTGGTTTCATATTTGAAAGTGTATGTCAGAGATGCTTTTTACACAAATATTCATTCTGCTGATGTTTTATGCATGAGCCCAACTAAACAACTAATGGAATCTGGAGTTTATGGACAATTATCTTAACCCAATGCATAAGTGCAATGTTGGACATGCCACTCCAATTTGTCTAGCTTACTTGTTTTTGCGTGCTTGTAAACCTGTAAACACAATGACTTGCTGATATCCCTTCCAGTAGAATGGGCCTTTGTTTGAGGGACACAAACCGAACCCTAAACACAGGAATCACAAAACAATAAGCATCCTCCAACTGTAACCTCCTCCTCCCTCCTTGTCGTGCCACCTTTCCATTTAGACAGCTGGGTTTGGGGGTCTGAGGAGGAGGAGGAGGGGGGGAGCCTCCATCTTTCAACCCTCTCCTCCGTTTACTATACCACCATCCTTCCTTCTTCTCTTTCTTCGCCTAAGCCCTCTCTTCCTCGTCCTACTCTTGCGGCTCAGCTGAGGCCAAACCGAAACAGGAAATCGCCAAAAAACAAGCCGCTAAAAAATCTCTGAGTAAACTTCCAGGTTCTATTTCTCCCTCTTCCTGATAGGAAGTCTTTTCTGAAGCAGTGGGAAAATAGTTCAGACCTTCACTCAACATCTCAGTGCCCCGAAGTCCTCTGAAGCTTTGCCCGCAAAACCATTGTGTTACACTGACGAAAGGGGAAATTGGGGGTTGCTCATATAAACATGATTTCGCTTTTGATTCTGGCTGTTTATGAGAAAGAGCTGCTGAGATGATTTATGTCTCACACGAAGCAGTGTGAGGAGTTCAAGTGACCGCGCTGGTTTGTCTTTCATTTTGTTGACATGTGTGCGCTCTCAGCCTTCTTTGCCTCCCAGGGTAGGTCAAATTATAAGCATGAATTGGATTTGTGTGAGTTAGCCTACAAGTTGGAGGTTTTCTCACATCAGACCAATTAGACACAGTGTCTGAGATAAATGCACCAATGGGAAGCACTAAAGGTGCAAGGTTAACGACCATCATGTGAATGCTCACAAGAGCGGTTGCTTTGTCCGATTTCACTATTTAAATTTCATACATTTTATACGTGCTTTGATGTTGGATCTTTACGACATGTTTCGTTATGGTCCAGTGAACTTTGAACCCTGTGATGAGCTAAAATGTTTTTCGTCGCATGTCATGGTTTGTCCTGCCTGGTTGTTGTTCCAAACTTGGAAATTGACGCTTAGCTGTTTGAGATTTATGTACGGGTGATTCTTTCAACTTCGGCACTGTTATGACCCAGGGGATTATTGAGTTTTATTTTTAAATATAAATGTAAACTCTTTTTTTGTGGCTAGTTTTCATCTTTAAAAATTGATTGTATTTTTTTATTATTATTATTTATGGATTGCCCGACTCTTAGGGGCCTTTTACATGACACCATTTTCAAATAAAAAACGAAAAACTTTTTATGCGTTTTGGCCGTTCAGTAACACAACGATGCTGACCTGAAAACGCAAACTTTTGAAAGTGATCGTTTTCTATGTAAAATACAAAAATGCGAATTTGTGAAAACGGTGACTTCATACGCATGTATAGAGTGCCGAAGTGATGACGTCACTTTGTAAGGCAACTCGGAAGTTAGCAGCGCATGGGTTCCCTCGATTGAAAAGCTACGCATTTTCCCCATAGACTTTCGGAAAATCGCAAAAAAATAAGATCTGTGTTCAACAAAGAGTTGTGGCCCTTACCAGATTGTCTATCAAAATGATCTTTACAAGTTAATCCAAAATTTATACTTTTTGAAGCCTTTATAAAGTTAAAAAAAACACAAGCAGGTTATAACTATGTGTTCTGTGTCAAAACGTGAAAGGCAGGCGATTTAGCAAAAACCCATTCAAAAATCCTATAGACTTTAGAGCGAGGGAACCGGGAGTGCTAAAATGCTAACTCACTTCCGCGTTTTGGCCTACAGATTGATGCCGTTTTAGATATCTATATAAAGGCTAGATATCTCGTCCGCGCTGCTGGCCAATGGAGGTCGACGTCAGCACCTGGCGGCCATCTTGTCACAGGCAGCTCGCTCACTCGTAACATTGTTTTAATGGTGCATGTACTTTTTAAATCACCGTAACTTGCTCAATTTTCTACCGATTTTCAAACGGTCTGGTTTGTTAAAAACGTCAGAGATGTAGTTATGATACTGCATACTTATGAATAAGAAGTGTATAAATTAATAATCATCCAGAATTATAGCCACGTTTTTAACGTTTGTAAGAAATCAATCCGTTTGTAAATCCGTCAAGATTTCAACAAGATAAGAGTATTTCGTACATCAGATACCACCGAGCCCGCCAGAAAGCCTGCCTGTGACAAGATGGCCGCCAGGGATTACGATAAATACTCCGCCGTGAGACATCTAGCCTTTATATAGATATCTATGGATGCCGTAACTTCACCACTCTATTACGTGTTCAGTCTAAAGGCACGTAGTGTTTCTTTACAAAGTGACATCGCCAACTACTGGTCTGGCATGAATAATACAGCGTTGCCATCTTACGTAAAAAACGCAAAAGGAAAAACTTTTCTTAAAACAATATTATTTATTTCTGTATAATTATTTCGACAACCTTAGCAAGAAAAATTCCCAAAAAGTTAAAAATGTCTTTTGCCGTTAAACAGAATGCAAAACTCTGTGGGAGGTATTTTCATTACTCTTAGAGAATATGACTCTTA